CACTAGAAGGGGAGAAAGGAGAGGACAGCTGAGGTGGATCCAAGAACAGAACCACCTGGACCATTCAGGGTCACTGTTCCGTCACTGGGGTGGTGACGGAATTTTCCGGAAAGAGATCACAGCGCTGGCTTGACTCCGCAGACAACTGTCTTCATGCACATGAATCCCCCGAGAGACCCCAACCACACCGACGTGTACTTCTGACCTCACTCAGAATGCTCCCCCCAGGGTCAGCCTGACCGCGGGCAGAGAGGAGGCTGCCGGTGGGATGGACGTCAGACTCGTGGAAGCCGTCGTGTGCGGGGGACCGTGTCCAGGTGGCGCTCTGCCGCTCCGGGTGCCCGGGATCGGAAGGCCCTCGCCCCGCTGGGCACGCACTCCGCAGTCCTGCGCTGTGAGCGTCAGCACGCTCGGGTGGGTCTGCTGCGTAAGACCCTGGCGAGTCCAAAATGTTGGTGGACCAGCTCGGCTGTCGGAGCTCCGCGGCTGGCGACCTGACAGGCCTGTTCCCAGAGCCTGGGGACAGTGCTAGGATGCAGGTGTCCTTGCCCCAGTCACCTGGCTCTATTCCAGGCTTCCGGCTGGAGCCCCAACAGCCAGTACACACCACGGCTGATGTGCAGCTTCTGTCTGTCACCCCACCCCGTATCCAGACCTGCACAGCAACAGGAGGCCTTCACTGGGCCATGTGGGTCACGAGACAGCATCCTCCCCGCCAAGAGACGCCCAGCTCAGCAGGTCATGGCTGCCCCACAGGAGCCCAATCTACCTTCAGATAAAAAAAAACTTAAAGGCCCCAAACTTCCTTACCCTTGAAGCCACTTTGGGTATTGTGTGACGTGCAGCCACGAACAGTCTCCCTGGCATAGTCATGGGGAACCTGGGGGAGAGAGCTGCTGAGACCCAGTGCCGACCATGCCCACCAAATGCGCTTCATTCATTCGTTCATTCATTCATTCATTCATTCAGATGACAGGCACGTCTCGCCCACGGCCACACAGGCCCTCGACCGTGCCCTTGCGTCTGGGGCTGCAGGCCTGAGGGGGCCCGGAGGCCAGCAGCCAGCAGAGCAATGGCGAGTCAGCGAAGCCTTCCACTGGCCCTAATTCACCGAGGTCCCCGAAGCCCCTTCCCTTACTGCTCCCCGAGCACGCCGAGAGGTAGGGAGGCCACCCACTGACCTTCACTTAAAGAAAGAAAAACAAATGGAGATTCGGGGAAGCCAAATGATTTGCCCGAGACTCCTGGGAGGAAGGCCAGGGGTGGGACCCCTCGGGCCGCGTGGCATTTAGGGTTCCTGGCTGCCTCCTGTCTGAGAGGATGTTGACAAAGTAAACAGACACGTCAATCAAAACCTCACTCTGAACCCTCTGAGGATCATGTGACAGTACCTGAAAAGCACCCAGATCCCTGAAAGGCTTCGGGCCAAACACAACCCTGTTACGAAAGTGGGCGCCGGGCGTGGCGATGTGCATTAGCACACAGCCAGCACACTCCTGCGGGCTGCAAAGCCCTGTGTCATGTTTCATGGAAAGTTCTAAAGGTCACCGTGGCACTTGACTCTGAGTGAGATCCTGTGTCACCTCCTCGGGGCCTCCCTCGTCCCTTCCCCAGAGCTGCTGACGAAGCCGCGGCTCTGAGCAGTGCCCGCCCCGCCCTGACTCAGGCACCCATGCCCGCTCGCCCGCGTCACCCATCACACTCCTGGTCACACACAGCCTCGTGGTTCCCCCGGGAGCTGGAGCTTACAGATACTTTGAGTGACAAGAGGGTGATTTTTTTTTTTTTTTTTTGGCAAAGACAGACCACCTCAACTTGCAAGCTCATTATCAGTGACGATAGGAGCATCTTAATTTTAAAAATATAGAAAGTATAGAAAAAGTGAAAGGCCATGGCAGTAATTCTTTTTAACATGCTGAAGTCCAGCACCCCCAAATTATGAAATCCCTTAATATCCTTTACATCTGAAAGGGGTTCCATAGGCCCCATAGAAGGGCCCAGTGGGAGGGGGGCTTATGGAACTCCTTCTTGTAGAGACCTGGGTGGGGGGAGTGTCTCTGTACCAGACAAATCGCTCCAGAGGTGCCAAAGATAGTTGACAAGGACCTGCTCTAACGCCAGCTTTCCGAGTGGCACCGAGCGTGAGCCCTGGACCCAAGGGCCACAGAGCAGTGGCTTTCGAACACTCGATGCCAAAGGTCCTAGAGGCCAAGCATCTGGACTTCCTGTCTCGCTCTCTGAGTTACGTCTCGGGAAGGCCAAAGTGACCCAGGAACGTGCAAAACCCTTGGGAGAGTCAAGACCACGTCAGCTGGCAGGCCTGGCAGAAAGCCGGAGTGGGGCCCCCCCAGGCCCTCACCCCCACGCAGCCAAGCACAGCTTCCTTCCCCAGGAATCCGGGTGTCCTCGAGGGGGACCCCAGCTGCCCTGGCACTGCCTTCACTTACAAACCTCTCGTTTAGAATACGAGGCCTGAGCTCGAGTTTGCCTTTGGTCCGTTTCTTCTGAACAGTGAAACAAACACAGCACGAAACGTGACGGTCAGCGGGAAGGTTTCTGAAACTCAGTCAAGCGCAGAGCCTTACAGCAGGTGAGGTTCACTCGTCGGGCGAGCGATTGGGGGCGGTTTAGCTTATTCTCCCACGCTTCTCCCATGAAGGAGATCGAGCCCATTTCACTGGGGTTTTAAGGAAATTGAACGAGGTGACATAGCAGAATGACCCTGTGAGCTGCAGAGCATTTTACGTGTGACAGCATCACCTGTCCCTGGCCCAGACCCCACGTGTCTCAAGGACATCTCAGAGACGCTTCACTGAGACTCGGCGGGTGACCTGGGGCTGGCTCCGGGCCTCTGCACCGGGAGGGCGCTGGGCCTGACAGCTCCGGCCTAGCCAGGCCCTGGGACACGTACTGGAAGCACCACATACGGGCGGTTCCTGCTGCGGGTCCCAGATCTGCGAAGTCGGAAGTTCTCAGACAGATCCCTCCCTGCCCGTCAGCCCAAACACTCATGCCCAAGCGCCCACTCCTCGAGTGAGGGGTCAAGGCCTTTCCTACTGATAATTTACTCTTTTTAACTGCACGTACGAAGAACCCTGGTCTTTTAGCAGCAATTGCCATGTGGAGAGAGGGTGGGTGCTACCCCAGGTGAGAACACTGACCGCCACAGAGCCCGTGGCTGGCACAGGACAGGGACGGAAGTACAAGACTCGGGAAGAGGGTGTCCGGAGTCCGCTCGCCCTGAACTTGGTCTTCACATCTCAGAAGCGGCCAGGTATGCCGACGGGAGTCACGGGGCAACCCAGTGAGAGCCCCAAAGCATCTTTAAGGAGCCAAAGTATATTGAGTATCTTTTGAATAAGAAAACCGCAAAGCATCGAATGCATCGGACCCTTAGAATGCGTGTCTGCGCGCTTAATGGCTTAAAATTCAGACATCTAGAAGGTTAACTTAGGTGGCTGGTTCATTGCCTGTGGTTGGCAGAATATAAGAAAGATATTCCGTAACTCACATTGTTCACTAATTCAGACTGGCCTGACTCCAAATCCATCCGATGTTACCGCATTCACTGACATCCCTCACCCCAAATTGTTTTCTGTTTGGGGCATCACTCTGAAGGGGGGTGATGCTGTCCCCCGGGAGGGGGGGCGGTGAAAACTGGGAGGGGAATGTACCTTTTTACGTATAAAGCACAGATACACACGGAATACATGAATGACAGACCGTGTATCTGTTCTGTCAAGGTTACAAGCGGACGACTAGAAAATGGTGTCTAAAAAGCTCTTGAGAGCGACGAAACAGCAAAGCTCGATTAAAACAAAAGAGCAGAAAGGAGACTGGGGAGACTGTGGGCAGCGGGTGCTCATCGCTGCTCGCGATGAGATCGCAGACGAGGTCTACCGCGGATGAGCAGCGCGACAGCGGGACACGGAACGTCATGTTGAAAGGCCCCGTTCGGGGTTCGGCGGGGTGGGGCAGGGTCTCCTGCCTTTCCGTATATGTCGTTCTCTGTTGTTTGATTTCTGACGTGGTCAGTGACCACGGCAGGGGAAAGAGGCCGTCCCCCGCCGGCGGGGAACGAGGCCGTCCGCTCGCCTGCCGGCCTGTCCTGGCGTCTCATCCTCCCAGGGGAGACTCATTCCATGGAATCGAGGAACCGCTACCCACCACCGCCTCTGCCATCCTTCGTTTCGATAGGTCTGAGGGTCCACATGGGCCAACTGCAAGGGGGCAACGCGGAAAGGTATTTCTGTCATCGGAACCTTTCTGTCATCAACATGAAAAGTTTTGTACGTCAAAAGGACACGATAAAGAGAGTAAAAAGACAACCCACGGAAAAGGAGAACATATCTGGAAATCACACATCTCACGAGCGTCTAACATCCAGAATTTATAAAGGGTCCCTGTAACTCAACAACACAAAGATGACCCAATTAAGAAATGAGATATTTCTCCAAAGAAGATATACAAACGGCCAACAAGTACACGAGAAGATGTCCAATACCTTTAGGGAACGGCACATCCAGTAGGCTGGCGACAATGATGATGATGATGATGGATAATGATGATGACGACAAGGATGGAAAATTACAAGTGTTGGCGAGGATGTGCAGAAATTAGAACTCTCACACGTTGCTAGTGAGATTATAAAAATGGTGCCAGTGCCGTGGAAAACACTATGGCCAGTGCTCGATGAGTTAAACATAGAATTACCAAAAGACCCAGAAATTCCACTCCTAGATATCTGCCCAAAGGAACTACCACTAAGGATTCAAACCAAAAACGTTCTGGGACTGGATGACGGCGAAGGCTGCCCCACAGCCGGAGTGCCACTGAACTGCACCCTGGAAACCGGCGAAGGAGGCAAACTGACGTGTTAGGTGTGTTTTAACAGGCACGCACACACCAAGAGTTAACGAGGACACCGGTGCCGGAGGAAAACCTGGA